CGGGAAGGGCGAGATTTGGCTCGGAGACTCGCCGCCGGGACCAGTGGAGGCCATAAACGCGCTCTGGCCACGACTAAACGCGCCGCGGCCTTCGCAGCACCGGACGACGCTCAGCCTCTCCCAAACGGGCGGTCCCCTCTCTCCCAGGCTTGCTTTGTGCAAAAGAAATCGGGCGACCTCCGTGGCTCTTCCTTGTGGAGGAACGAGGCGGAAGAGAATGACGCGACGGAGGAAGTGACAAGGGAGAGAACGACGAGAATGGGACGGCCGCGAGGTGGCATGAAGGTTGCAGCGAGAATCGGCGAGAGACTGCGAAAAGAGATAGGAAGAGGCAGACTCCCTAGGGTGGGCGACGGCTAGCGCATCACACTCCTCTCCTTAAAATCCCTGTGTGGTGGCGGCGTGCCGTCCTCCCATCCCTCCCTTGGGTTGTCTGTTTTCTTTCTTTCTTTCTTTTGTGGAGGAACGCGACTCCAGACTGACCCTCGACGCTCCAATGTATCACACCCCACGGTGCTAGATGCTTGGGTCATGTAGAAAGAAAGAAAGAACACACCCAAGCCAGAGGAGGGACGGGAGTGAGTGAGTGTGAGTGAGTGTGACACACACACACACACACACACACACACACACACACACACACACATGAGCGGAGAGCTGTACACGGAGCGAGGGTCTGTACCGAGGCGTACAGGAACGATACAAGCAAGACTACATCAGCCAAGCCGCGGTTGAGCGGAGACGTCCGACAAACAGAGCAATAAGCAAGCCGGCCTGACACGTCCCGCACATGTCCCTGTTCACACAGACATCTCGCTAGGATAGAGACGTCTCTCCCTCTCTCTCTCTCTATCTTTGTGCCGCGTCCTGTGCCGCCGAGTTCATTATACATATATATATTCATGAGGAGGGCGTTCACACTCCCAAGAGTAGGCCTTTAAATCACTCCTCCCCGCTGTACACTGTAGTCGGCCCCGTGAACCTTCACGGGACTCTCACAGTTTGCTGTGAGAGCTCCTGTGTGAAGAGTGCGTAAGGGGTTGCCTTTAAATTCTTTTGGCTCCGGTGGTGAGCCTGTGTGCGTGCCAGTCCGCGCCAGTCTGCGCCCTTGTCGTGCCAGTGTGCTGTGAGAGAGGCTTCTATCTAGAATTCTTTTGGCGAGGAGTCCGAGAGAAGAGGTACATGACACTCCGCCCCTTCCTATCCCTGCTGCTCGCGCTGGTCCTCCCGGCAAGCTCTGCGCTGGTTCTCCCGGCGGGCGGTCGCCTCGCGCCTCGGCTCGCCGTGCGCCCGCCTCGCGCCCACGCAGCGCCGCCTCGCTGCTCGTCCGCCGCCTCGCCGGGCGCCAGCGAGAGCGGCAGCAACGCGCCGCGGCGGCGTCGGCTGCTGCCGCGGCTCCCGCTGGCGAGCGGCTCCGGGGGTCGGATGCGCGTGCCGCCTTGGCTCGATCGCCTCGCCACCCGCGCGTCCAAGATGCGCTGGCTGCGGCTGCTCTACGTGTTTCTGCTCGCGGCGCTCGTGCCCGTGCTGCTGGGGCGGCGCGCTCCGCCGCAGCGGGCGGTCGAGGTCTCGTACGCCGCCTTCATGCAGCTTGCGGCGCGCGAGAGCGGCCGCATCAGCGGCCTCCGCCTCTCTCTCTCGCGGTACGGCTTCCTGCTCGACGGCGCTCCAGCCTTCACGCGGCCGGTGAGGGCGCCGTCAGACCTGCAACCCTTCTAGGGCCCCTCTCGGACCCTTCTAGGACCCTCCTAGGTGCGGGCGCCGTCGGACCTGGTCTGGTTCCTACACAAGCACGGCGTCGACTTCCGCGCCGCGCCCGCCTCTGCCGCCGGCGCCCTCCTCCCACTCCTCTTCCCCCTGCTCTGGCTCGGCGCGCTCTACTCGATGATGCGCCGGCAGATGGGCGGGCAGGGCAACGTGTCGAAGCGGGCGTCGGCGCAGCTCCTCTCGGCGGACGGCCTCTCCTGTGAGGTGTGAACAGCGTCTCTTCACACCCACTGCTGTGAACAGGCGCAGCTCCTCGCGGCGGACGGCCTTTCCTTCGAGGACGTCGCCGGCATCGACGCCGCCAAGGAGGAGGTGCGCGAGGTTGTGGCGATGCTCAAGAGCCCGGCCACTTACGCCGCCGCCGGCGCGCGGCTGCCGTCGGGCGTGCTGATGTGCGGGCCGCCCGGCACGGGCAAGACGCTCCTCGCCCGCGTCATGGCGGCGCAGGCGGGCGTGCCGTTCTTCTACTGCTCGGGGTCTGACTTCGTCGAGCTCTTCGTCGGGCGCGGCGCTGCCCGCATGCGCGCCCTCTTCAAAGAGGCTGCCGCCGTGTCCCCGTGTATCGTCTTTGTGGACGAACTCGACGCTAGAAGCGGAAGACGGGTTCTTGTACCCCACCTAGCGCCTGAGAGACGGACTCCGCTGTCTTCACACGCACTCCGCTGTATCCACTGTCCTCCTCTCCGTTGTCTTCACGCGGTGCTCTGAAGACGCTGCACAATACCGTCCTCCCGCCCTCATGTTGGCGTATTCAGCACGTAGGAGCTCGACGCGCTCGGCAAGCAGCGGTCGATGCGGCTCGCGGGGTCTAACGACGAGGTGCAGCCGAGAGGCAGCCGAGAGGCAGCCGAGAGGCAGCCGAGAGGCAGCCGAGAGGCAGCCGAGAGGCAGCCGAGAGGCAGCCGAGAGGCAGCCGAGAGGCAGCCGAGAGGCAGCCGAGAGGCAGCCGAGAGGCAGCCGAGAGGCAGCCGAGAGGCGGCCGAGAGGCAGCCGAGAGGCAGCCGAGAGGTGGCCGAGAGGCAGCCGAGAGGCAGCCGAGAGGCAGCCGAGAGGTGGCCGAGAGAGAGCTGTACGAGGTGGCCGTCAGCCGCTTGGGTGTCGCCCCACCTCGCCCCAGGAGGTGATGCCTCGCCTGGTCGCCCTGAGATCCCAGCATGAGATCCCAGCACGAAGGCTCGCAGCGGTGGGGGCCTCTCTTACTGTTGCAACACGATCTCAGAGCCGGTCGCAAGATGAGCCAGTGAGCGCGCGGCGCGGCTTCTTGAGCCGCTCACATGCCTACCTCGGCTGCCTCTCGGCTGCAGGTCGAGCCGAGTCTTTCACTCCTCCGGCCGAGCCGAGCAGTGACACTGAGTAGGTCGAGCAGACGCTCAACCAGATGCTCGCATGTATGGATGGGCTCGGGGGGGAGTCGAGGGATATCGTCGTCATCGGCGCTACCAACCGGTGCGACTGCCCTCGACCCCGCCCCCTTCCGAGCCCCTTCCGAGACATGTCCGAGCCCCTTCCGAGACATGTCCGAGACACGCCGCTCCCCCTCCCTGCCAGGTGCGACATCCTCGACCCCACCTGTTCACGGCAGTGGGTGTGAAGAGACGCTGTTCACACCTCACAGGTACGACATCCTCGACCCCGCCCTCACCCGGCCTGGCCGCTTCGACCGCCTTGTGCGCATCGAGCTGCCCGACGAGGTGGAGACATAGCCGCGACATAGCCGAGAGACGGCCGGTACATAGCGGAGATGTGGCATCGAGACGGCGGGAGCTAGCAGGGCAGACGCCACTCCAAGAGTGGCACCGCACCGGAGACCGCGCGCCGAGCGACAGGCGGGGGCGGCTCAACGCCCTGCTACCACACCACCCACGGGACTGAACCCACACTGGATTCGAGACTCTGGAGGTATGGTAGGCGGGGCGGCTCAACACGCTGCGCGTGCACACCAAGTCCCTCGCCCTCGCCCCCGACGTCTCGCTACGCAAGGTTGCGGCCGCGACGCCAACATTCTCAGGCGCCGAGAGGCAGCCGAGAGTCAGCCGAGAGGAAGCCGAGAGATCGTTCGGAGATCGTTCGGAGATCGTTCGAAGATCGTTCGGAGATCGCTCGGAGATCGCTCGGAGATCGCCGAGACATAGCCGTGACGCCCCTCCCCCCCCCTTCTCTGGCGGCGGAGAGTCGCAAGCACTCATCTCTGCTTCTACCTGTGAGCAGAGCTCGCAATCTCGGCTATCTCTCGCCTATCTCCCGGCTATCTCCCGGCTATCTCTCGGTTGTCTCTCGGCTGTCTCTCGGCTGTCTCTCGCCTATCTCCCGGCTATCCCGGCTATGTCTCGGCTATGTCTGCGGGCAGGAGCGGAGCTCGCCGCTCTGACCAACGAGGCTGCGATCCGCTCCGTGCGCCGCGCCGTCGCCAGTATTGCGAGCGAGCAGGGCGGCGGCGGCGGCGGCGGCGCGGGGATGGCCATGCCGGCGCACAGTGGCGCGGGCGGGCCAGTCACTATGGCTGACTTCGACTCTGCGCTGGTCGACTTTGTGACTTCGCGGCGCAAGGGGCCAGTCGGCGGGCTCCTCGGCAAGGCGTGTCAAACGGCCCTGCCCCTCCCTCCCCGCGCCGCTGCGCTCACCCCGCCCCGTCCTCCCCGCGCGCGCGAAGGTCCTCGGCTAGTGTTGCTTGCCAGGCGCCTGCCCCCTCTACTGCTGCCCCCTCCCCGGCAATACGGCGGGGCCACTCTCCTGCGAGCTTGCGTGAGGAGTGGGTGGGGGCGGGAGAGCAGCTGAACACGGGCGGGCGGCGGCGGACTCCGGCTCGCGTGTCGACCATGGACTCCGCTGCTGCACGCCAGCGCAACGCGCGCGCGCAGTCCGTGAGGACATCGTGCGGGTTCGATGCGAGAGGGAGAGAGCGAGAGCGAGAGCGAGAGAGATGTTACTATGCGCGAAAAACACATCGTACAGTTTTAAGGCTTCCGCGGGTGCCGCGAGCCTCGTGGGGTCTCTCGCCCTGATGGCGCGCCTCCTCCGCGAGCTGCCGATCTGGCCACTCGTCCGTTAGAACGAAATAGCACCTCGACCACCTCTACCTCGACCACCTCGACAACCCACCTCGACCCGCTCCCTGCGCGGCTCCCCTGAGGCTTCCGCGGGTGCCGCGAGCCTCGTGGGGTCTCGCCCTGATGGCGCGCCTCCTCCGCTGCCGATCTGGCCACTCGTCCGTTCGTGTAGTACCTAGGCGCGCTGGACATTGCTCGCTCGCCACTTCCTCCGCGACGCCTGCTCAGTCAGTCATTCTTTGTGCGGCTATCAGGGCACGACTCCGTGTTTAGCTAATGGGAGTTGTCTCTTGAATGTCGGGCTGGACTGTTCGCGTGCGAGTGTCGGTGATGTGCAGGGTCCTGGGAAGCAAAGCCAGCGCAGGCGTCTTTGCACGACACGCTGCAAACAAGTTGCCTCTGTCGTCGGGCAGTTGGGGGGGGTTTGGGGGGGGGGGGGGGGATTGTGTCCTTAGCACTCCCCGTCGACTCGGCAAGCGCGACCTGCGTCTCTGGAGCGTGACTTCCTCCCCTTGTGTGCTGCGCATGCGTGTGCCGTGTAGCTCCATGCTTCAGCCGCGGCGCGCGGGACCAGGTACGATGCATTATACAACGATACTACTCTCTCTGCCATCGTTTAACACCCAGACTGCTTCATAGAAGTCACACTTATTCCCCTCCGATGTGAGGCGTGGTCTCAGCTCTCAGCCGGAGGAAGCGCCCCCACCGGTTCTGGTCCAGGAAATTACGACTGAACTTGTTGCGCACAGTCTGCAGGTCAGCTTGCGCCCTAGCTGGTGGAGGAGATGCAGCTCCTTGGCACAGTCACCGAGGTCAAGACGAGTGTAGCCGGTCGCTTCCTACACATCAATCAGCTGTGAGACAGGTGCGATCATTAAGAAGATGCGATGCGTGCCGTCAAAAGGGGGGGGTGGGGGGGGCGTGCTCCACAAGGAGCGGTTGCGTGTGTGCAGCGCGAGGTGGATTGCCGCAGCTGCCACCATGGATGGCTCAAATCTCTTGAGGCGCACATTCATCGAGAGACAATTTGCAGAGGTATAATGCGAGCAAATATGTGAGCCCGAGCCCACCAAGTTGTCGGCACGCACCTCGAATGTGGCTCAGCTGGCAATCAGGTTCGTTGGCTCCGACCGTTTCGCCCGCATCCTCACCACATGGTCGACGCCGACGGGAAGCAACACTCGTACTCAGAAGCCAGTGAACTGCGCCAAGAAGCAGGCTTGGAGTCAAAGCGCTCCTTTATTTACGATCCGATCGAGGGCCGCTCGGTACACGTCAAATGGGCCGGGACCATGGCTGCACGCGAGGATGGGCGGTCAAAAAATAATCAAAATCGGATCCGTCAGCTCGCCCTCGTCATGTTGCGAGTCGTCCCCGCGATGCGGCACTGCACCTCGCTGCGCTCCTGGGTGGCCGAAGCGTGCGAGTCGCCGGCGCTTGCGATCCGCAACACGGACTCAAACAGAGCGATCCACTCGGTTCTGCAGCACGCGCCAGACTAGTGAGTACGCGGGTCCGACGAAGCGCCCAGGGACATCTCTCGGACGCAAGACTCAACACGAAGATCTGCACGCATTGAGCTACGCTACCGAGTCGGTCGACTTGTTACTGTCGTCGGAGGTCTTCGAGCATCTTCACTCACCGTACGCAGCATTCAGCTCCGTGTACCGCGTGTTGCGCCACGGTGGGAAACACCTTTTCACGACCCCCTTTAGCGGGCTTGCGCGCGACACGCAGTTCTCACGGCGACATGCCAACGGCACGATTGTTCATCCACCGAACGGGGCGACATACCATGGCAACCCCAACCCTCAAGCCGCGGGCGGCGGCGGCTCGCTGTTGTACACGCATTTTGGCCAAGAAATGGTGTCGTCGTTGTGTTCGATGGGCTACGACGTCAATATGTGGGAAGTCGATGCGCCAGAGATGGGCATCACCGGCGACGGCGCTCTGGTCTTCGAGGCGACCAAGCCAAGTGATCAGCACAGATCCCGGAGGCGATCATCGGGCACTGGTTGCGCAGGCCAATGCTGATGGGCTACAGGTGGGCTGCCAACATATCCTGAGCTTCATTCGAGCTAATGATTGCCATGCGGTCGACCCATCGGATGACCTCCTTCTGTCTTCTCCAGGGAGAGATTTTTTGCGATACCACACAACCAAACCTTACACATCATTTTGGGGGCCTGGCAGTTCGACTACTGATTCTAACTGTAAAGCTACGGCTTTTTATGATATATAAGGATTATGTCCCTAAAGCCGTAGCTCGAGCCGTAATAAATCCCATCTCGTCTCAAACGGTTTTCGTTTTGAAAGCTCGTCAGGTCGTAAAGGAGTAGACAGTAGTCCGAGCAGTCTCTCCGTTCTTTTATGTCTTGTGTGAGCTGCCTCTGCGAGTCACAACGCGAAAACAAGACACAAGCCGACACGCCGCACAGACATAGCGACTCTCTACTGTGCCCTTCACGACGACTCGGGCACAGCAGGCGCACCCTCCGCTGGCGGCGCGTCATCATCCGCCTGGGTCGATGGCGGCGCAAGCTCCGCCGACGAAGCCTCGGGCGGCGGTATTGCTGCGAGCGGCGCTGCTGCGGGCGGTGCAGGCTCCTCTGCCGGTGCGGGCGGCTCGGTCGGCGACGGCTCGGTCGGCGGCGGCTCGGTCGTTGACACTGGCGCTGGCGGCGGG